CCGGGATTATGTTAAAAAAGAGAACTGTTGAAAACCGAACAAACACCAGACCTATAAACATGACTTTTATAAAATAATAATAATAATAATAATAATAATAACAATAACAACAACAATAATGAGAGGACCTGAACAGAATAAGAAGACAGGACATCTGTAAAGAACTGTCCTAAATAAAGTAATAAATAAGATGAGCAATTGTGAGATATATGTAAAAGATGACAATCTTAATAAATAAGCTTTTTTTTTTTACTATTTACATCTTTATATATTGCTTGAAGATTTAAATTAGATCCGTTAAAAACAAACGAACACAGTAACAAAAACAGGATCAAAGAAGAACCAGGAGCAGCAAACATACAGGCGTGAGGTACAGAAGTAAGGTTTAAACTGTGTTTTTGTTTTATATCCAGCATTTTTTCTGTTTTATCTTTCTCTCTGTCTCTCTCTCTCTCTCTCTCTCACTCACACACACAATCACATATACAAGCTCTTGCGCTCGCTCGTGCTCTCTATACAGTAGACCAGTAGAACTCTTATGAAAATAGTCCCATAATCTATATATATATATTTTTATGTATTGGTCGACACAGACTTCAAAAGTTGTGCCAAAAGACATTTTCTGTAATAAAAAATCATAATAAAAGTAAACATTTATAACTATAACAATAATAAAACGATACAATAATGGAATAACAATATGGATGAGCATTTGGTAATAGGAGTAAATGATATAAAAGAGAATAGATAAGATATTTCACTCAAGGAGATCACAGTTTTTTTTGTCTGGGGAGAAATGTTACGTCTCCGTATAGGGTGGATTTGCTGCCATGTAGGGTTGAATCCAGGCATGAGCAACTTGTATGGATGACGGGGGGAATTCCTGCTAAATAGGAGTTGGGTAGAAACTGGGAAATCCTTCCCCCCCACACATACACACACACCCCCAAAATAAAAGTAAAGCAGGAGGAAAAGAGGCAACTTCCATAGAGTGGAAGTTTTCCCCAATGGAAAGATCCAGCCTGTGATGTCGTAGTACTTGGACATGATGCTAAGTCTGTCCCTCTTGGAAGTCAACAGCAGCAAAACACACACACACACACATACACACACACACACAAACAGGGCAATGGGCCTTCCCCCCCCCACTCCATTGGCATCAGGCCACGTCCCCATAACTGCAATTAAGAGACATGATGTCTCAAGACATTCAGCTCAGTAAACATCCCAGAGGGTTCCCCTGGCCTCCTTTAAAGCCAGTGGCCCTGATCCAGCAACGGAGGGTTTTTACGGCATGAGGCCCCAAAGAAGGGACTTGATCAACTGCCAAGGACGTGTGTCTTTGGATGGACCCTCGGACCCACTTCAAGCAGCATGGCGGTGCGCCACCCAGCGAGCGGGAGGCTCGGCTGTCGCTCAGCAGCGAAAGCGAGGTCGAAGCCCCCTAGAGCTTCGGGATCGGCAGCCAAAGGCCTTCCAAAAGCTGCTGGATGAGGACTCCCTAGCAATGGCAGCTAGCGTAGCCCATGGGGATGTGGCCTGCATCAACATCTGGAAGGCTTCCCAGTTGCGCACCGCCGTGGCTGCTTGTGCACCAGAAAAAATGTGGTCTCAGTGGTTCTGTCCTGTGGGTAGATGTCTAAGTCTTCCCCTTTCTCTCTGTGTGTGTGTGTGTTACTGGTCCTACCTCTAGGACACCTCGACTGTTCAGCAGAGGGAAGGCAGCTGGGGCAGGTAGGCAGGGCCTTCCCCTCCTCACCGTGGCCCCTAAAGCAAGACCCTTTGTCCCCTAAGCTAGCCTGTTGCCCTCCAATGGAGCAGAAGACCCCCCCCTCATTGTCAGTACCACTGAAGAGAGAGGCCACTCCTGGCCCAGCTGGGTTTAGGGGCCATTTGCCCTTTTAGGTGGCCGCCACCAGTGGACCACTTTCTATCCATCTGTCTGTGCGTGCGCGTGTGCTTGTGGTGTGTACCATATTTTTCTGCGTATAAGACTATACTTTTATCTAAAATCTTTAGACTAAAAATTGAGGGTCATCTTATACACAGAAGTAAGCTGAGGAGAGAACAAAAACAAGTAGAGGGGAAAGCAGGGATCAAAGCGATCCTGCAGCACTTCGATCCCTTTCCCCCCCCACCCTTGCTAAGCCCCACTTAGATTTCTTAATTTTGGATTAGAAAAGTGGGGGGGGGCATCTTATACTACATGGGGGCGTCTTATACATGGAAAAATACAGTAAATTCCCCCCCCCTAGTTCTCTAAATTGGAGAACACACACAGGGCATTGGTCCATGGCCACGTGGGAGGCCCATGAGCACTACGCCAGTGTGGGGCTTCAAGGATCATGCCCCAACGCCTGAACTACTTGGAACTGAGCTGTGAGCTTTTGGAAGTGGGGGAAGGAGACGGAACCCCCCCCCCCCCAAGGAAGCAATAGCTGTCTGATCAGTTTAGCAGCTTTGTTAGGGAGATCCTTTCCTTACCCCCCCCCCTTAATATGGTTCTTTATTGATGTCTATGTCGCTTTGCTCTCCATTCTTTGAATTTATAGGTAGGAGAACAGAGAAATACTGGTAAATGTTACGTACTGTCTGATAGTGGACACAAATAATAAACAATGTGTTTACTCTTAACACAAGCACCTCCCTTCCACGCAAATGACAGAATATCCAGGCCAGAGGTTCCCTACCTTGGGCTTCCAGATGTTCTTGGACTACAACTCCCAGAAATCCTGGCCAGCACAGGTAGGGGCGAAAGCTCCTGGGGGTTTTAGCCCAAGAACATCTTGAGGACCCATGGCGGGGAACCCCTGCCCTAGAGGGAAAGGCAGGACCTAATAACTATCATACATGCACACACTCCCGAAACAATGTCACCTCTCCGTCGACAATTCTCAGCCCCGCCGCCACCCTGCTTCGATTGTGCAAAGACTCAGCGCTTCTTTCTTCCACTCAGATCATCTGCAGCACAATACGTGGGTGGCCAATCTTTTCAGATAAAAAGTCCCCCCCCCAAAAAAAACACCCAAAGCAACCTTTAAAAAAACCCAAACAACCACATTCTCTCTCTCTCTCTCTCTCTCTCTCTCTCTCTCTCTCTCATTTTAAAACAAAACACAGATAAACCCTAGAACAAACCAACAGTTACAACCAAATGACACCGGAATGGAGGTAGCTGAAACCTGCTTCCAAAAAAAACACCCTCCTTTTTATGGGCAGGAACATGTCTCTCCTCTCAGCCCCTTTTAGGGTGGGAAAGAAGTGGGGGGGGGGTCAAAAAACTCCAGGCCAGCAACCAACTCTGTAAGTTTGGTAAGGAGCTGTGGAGGGCAGTGGCAAAGCCACGGGGGGTGGGGAGAGCGTTCCCTCTGCACGTGGACGCCACGTTCCTCCTTCCACCAAAGGTTCAGCCAACGGCCCCAAGGGGAGACGCATTGGTCTGTGACAGGAACGCAAAACCCATCAAGGTTTCTGCAGCCTGCATCCCACTGCATCGGAGTGCGCTTCTGCTATCCACGAACGGCTGGACTCTCTTCAATTCGCAACTCTTCCAAGATGCTAAACCCTTCTTGGAGGTGGCGGGTTAATATTTATTTTCATAGACACCGAAATACTTAAGGCCAGCTCAATCGGTGTGCTGCTCAAGGTCAAGAATGAGACTCCCTCCCTCCCCCAAACTATACATTTTACGGAGTTAGGAGATTTTAATGGCTAAGTTCCTGCACTTTCTTTTTTTTTCTTTAATGACTGTGCTTTCGTTTCTTTTTCAAAACTCTTGATTCCATTGGAATATTCCTGCTTATTTGTATTTTATTCTTGTAATATTGTGTGGTTTAATCCAGAGATTGGAAAACACCTTTCTTCTAATACAAGTGTCTGAACAATATACAGTGGTGCCTTGCTTAGCGAGTGCTTCGCTATGCGATGAATTCGCATAGCGAGGGGGTCCGGGCCATCGCTGGAGCGTTCGCTCAGCGATGGCCCCTATGGCGATTTTTCGCTTTGCGATGATCGCTAAGCGATTTGCTTAGCGATCTTCGCAAAACGAAGCGGGGGAGAACAGCTGATCAGCGGTTCCAAAATGGCCGCCGGAAGGTCCGCGCCGCATTTTCGCGCCCTGCCCTCGCTTACCAAGGGCGCGAAAATGGCGGCGCTATGGAGAAACATCGCTTAACGGTGAGTTTTCAAGCTATAGGAACGCATTGAACAAAGTTCAATGCGTTTCTATGGCTTTTTTAGTCCCATTTAGCGATGTTTTCGCATAGCGAAGGTTAATCCGGAACGGATTAACCTCGCTATGCGAGGCACCACTGTATATCATTTTTGTACATCTATGATTACTATGTTGGGAAAATAATTCACTGTGTTACTTACGTTTTCATTTTTTTTTAAATTACTTTTATGCTTTTTTTAAAAAAAATATTATTGTTGTTGTAGTTAGGAGTGATAAGATAATGGCACAGCATTGGAAAATCCTGCCAAGGCTTTTAAAAAATCCCTGTAAAACAGGCAAATATCTGACACCTAACATGCTACAATACTGGTGAAGTGCAGAAGACCAGGTCAGCTTGTGGGACAAAGGAGTGGATCCGATAGTGCATACAAGGAACATACAGTGGTGCCTCGCTAGACGATGATAATCCGTTTCACTGAAATTGCTGTTTAGCGAAATCATTGTCTAGCGAAAAGCATTTCCCCATTGGAACGCATTGAAACCTGTTTAATGCGTTCCAGTGGGGAAGAATCGTCGTTGTCTAGTGAAGATCGGCCATAGGAAAGCCGCTTTGCGAACCGCCGATCAGCTGTTTAAATAGCATTTCCCCACTGGAATGCATTGAAACCTGTTTAATGCTTTCCAATGGGGAAGAATCGTCGTTGTCTAGCGAAGATCGGCCATAGGAAAGTCGCTTTGCGAACCGCTGATCAGCTGTTTAAATCACTGTCTTGCGAAGCTTAGGTCCCCAAAACACCTGTTTTGGGAGCATGGAGGGAGCTGTCAAAATCGTCAAGCGAAAATCGGTTTGCGAAGCGGGTTAACTGTCTAGCAAGGCATCACTGTACAGAGAGGTTGATCTGATGAGTCTCCCAGGTCTACGGTGTGTTCTCAACATCACTGTATTCTGACATGGCAGTGACCCTACTTGAAAACAGAGGAACTCAGCAACACCACCACTCTGGATTCTGCACATCATCCGGACAAGACTAGACTCAGTCCATCAATAGGACCGGATTCTGACCCCCGCACAAGCGTTGACTGAGAATTCCACATACGTAGCTAACTTCATATCCAGCCATCAATTCAGTGGGTCTTCTCTAGTGGGAACTAGCAACTGGGTGTAGATCAGGAGGCTTAAATCGTGGTTCCGTTCCATCAGTAATCTGCCCGAGCCTCCGTTTCTCTTGGACCAAGGCCGAGAGGGCATGGTGGCTTTGTCAATGGAGACAAAACCCGTATAGGTGGCCTCCCAGCTCAAACAAGCCCAGGCTTCTTGAGTGCAGAGGACGGGATTTTAGCAGCAAGAATGGGACCAAGGAGGTCAGAAATGGCCCACCGGGAACCAAGGGGAGGGACGCAGAAGAAGCCCCGGTAGGTCAATTGATGGAGAAGATATCCATCGGCTAGAGTGTTTGAGGGCTTGAGGATTCGTTTGGGAATTGTTTATCTACGTCGTTTCATTTTGGAGTTGGTTGGTGTCCCGTTTTTTTCCCCCTTCCCTCTCCCCTTCCAACGTACAGACGAGGCGGGGCAGAAGAGGACAGAAAAGCCCCAAGGAGGTTTGGAAGGCAGGCCGTAGGTAAAGAGGTTTAAGGCAGGCTGTTTTGGTTGCGTGGAGGCTGAACAGCACCCGATTCCAGACACAGTAAAAAAAAAAAAAAAGGAATGAGTTTTATGGAACATAGCAGCAGCAGGAATTAGCAGCAGCAGCAGCAATATGGAGATTTTGGTTGACCACCTTCTACCTTCTCCTTCTCTTCCCGGGGTGGCACTTCCAAGCCCTTCAGCCCAGTTCAGCGGATGTTCTCCCCGTATGCCATCCTGGCTTCCTCCCCCCGCCCACCTCTGCCCACACATTTTCTGAACGGCTCGCTGAAGCCCCTCACGGGTGGCGAGGCCAACGCATGTTTTAAGGACCCTCCAGGCTTGGCAGCTGAAGGACACCAACCTCGGGCTGGGAAGCCCCATCTCTTCCGGGAGAGAGAGAGAGATTCGGGGGACTGCAAATGTTTCGCTCGCATCCCCTCCCTCCCTCTCCATCAATAACATTTATATATGGCTTGTTTCTTACCTTAATCTGGATACAAAAAAAAAATGTTCAGAAAGAGCAAAACTTAACCGAAAGATGGGCAAACGTAAAACCGCACGTCGTTCCAACGAGACGGATGCAGAACTGCATTTAACGCATGCTTCTTTTCCCCCACTTCTCGAGACCCGGAAGTCCTCCTCATCTATTTTGTCGCTTTGTCATTTTGCTTGTTCTTGATAGTTAAGATATGTCTAATGCGGCCACTTCCTCCTCTCTCTGTCCTCTCCCCCCTCCCTCCCACAACTCCAAACCATTTTTTTTCGTTCTCCTTGGGAAAGAAATTAAAGGCAGATTGGTTGCATTCTAAAGGTCCCTGGTGCAAAAAAATTTGAACCGAGCAGCTGAAACGGTTTTAAAACAAATACCAACAAAAACAGGAGGGGGGCCTCCAGTGATGTCTCTTTCTCTCTCGCTCTCTCTCACTCTCGCACTCGCTCTCCTTGCCAGGCTTAGTGGTGTTCCTCTTCCGTCCCTCGGGGTGCGCCGCCTTATCCAAAACTGAGCTCGCGATGACCCCGTTGCTTGTGTTCCTGGGCGCCGGGATCCAGACAGGCACAAGCCCCTTGCAGGTCGCAGGACATAGGGAAGGGAATGACCTGAGCAGAAAAAGACACACACCCAAACCGTGGTGAAATCAGAGCCACACAGGGTTCAAAAAATGGCCTGGCGTGGAACATAGCTGCGGCCATTCCTCGGAAACGAACGGGCAATGTTTGCGAAGTGAAAAGGTCAAACTACATGTTACATCTCGCTGTAACGTGTAATTTGGCCTTTGCGGAAAGAAAGAAAGAAACTTTTTTCGTAACTCTCTCTTTTCGCTACAGCCCAAGACCAAACTAGAAACCTGGATCACAATCCTGCATGCAGTGTAACCTTAAACGTTAGTGGGGTGACTCCCAAGATCTCCAGCTTAGGGCCTTCCAGGCCCCTCTTTATTGGGGGGGGGGGCACAGTGCTTCCCTGCTTCAAACTCAAGATGATTACTGGCAAAAACAGGGCTCCCTGGAGCTCTGGTCTGACGGGCTCAGCTTGCGCCAAAGGGATCCCAAGGCCGAACCCCGGAGGCGAAGTGCTTGGCAGCCCTGGGCTCTGTGTCTCTTTAAAAGGAGGGGACGCTGACGCAACCACCTCCAGGAGACCTTTGGCAGGCGGCAAAAGGACATCTATTTCAGGTGATTGCATCAGGAATTGAAAGAAAGGAATGGCTCGGGGACTAAAAATAAAAGCAAATGGGAGGGAGAGGGAGGGAAGGAGCCCTCTTTGGTGCCTGGAGGTTCTTCCCCCCAGGGTCTTGCCCCATCTGTGCAGGCAGCGTTAATGACGTAATTCCCCTCCCTTCTTGGTCGACGGCACAACCTGTTCAGATGTTTTCTGCCAGGATGATGTACATTCAGTCCCTCCTGACACCTCGGTTTCCTCCTCCTATCTGTTTTTTTTGTTCCCAAACGGCCCCGTGTCCTGCAGCCTGCCCTCCGTCGGACAGGAGCTGGGTCCCTCCCCGCACACGTGCACACACACTTGTGGAAGTGCGCACGTACACAGCTCCCAATGCGACACCACCGCCCCCTTCCTCTTCCCCGCGCTTGGACCTGCCTGCCGCTTGGTAGCCGCAAGCAGAAGGACTCGGGGGGGGGCCCTGGGGAGACCAGAGCCTCTGGCAGGGGCCCCCTGTATGGCTGGCGCTTTGCCCTTGGAATTGATGAGCAAATCAAACTTCGCTGGACCCTCAATTGAGTGACTCTTAGAGGGAGACGTGACAGGGCCCGAAAGCCATAATCCTTCTCCTCTTAGGACAGCAGAGCTGAAAGGGACCCTCGAGGTCATCCAGTCCATCCACTGTCAAAGAGGTCCCGGGGGGGGGAGGGATTCAAACTCCCACCTCTGGCTCGGTATCCAGAGACTCCGACAACTGAGCAGTTAGTTCATCAGGAACTAAATGGAGGAGAATTACAATTTGACTGCAGTGTATCTAGAGATCTAGCTAGAACCTTCTTCTAAGCCCTGATCGCCACACCCTACTTGATCGTGTTCTGGACTGCTCTGCTTCATACAACCACCTCCTCAATGTACTAACTATATTTCAGCCCTGACTCCAAAGACTACCCTTTATAGCTGTTTGGAGGCACAGGTGCCCAAGACAGAAAGACCACCGTTTTTATGCCCATAGGTGCGACATTTATGAGTAGAAGGAATGCTTGTAGACTTAGCTGCAGCCTTGGTTAGTGCAAATCATGGTCCTCTAAAAAAGCAGTAAAAATGCAATAAAAGGCAGGAAAAATGGGAAGTATCTATTTCTCTGTTCTCAGATTGAGTGAAGGGCAGCCCTCCAGATGTTGGTAGACATCAGCTGCCATCAGCCCTTACCAGCATAACCAAGGGCTGAGGTTGGAACCCAATAACATCTGGTAAAGACCATGTGTAGCTATAGCACAAGCCAACAATGAGGGATGATGGGTGTCGGGATCTGACAGCATTTGGAGGGGAGCTCATTCTGTTTCCCACTCACCCACCGAAGCCTTTGTATGCCTTAGATCAGTGGTGGCCAAGCCTGCATCTCCAGATGTTCTTGGAACTACCACTTCCAGAAATCCCAGCCAGCCTAGCTGGGGGTAAAGGGTTCTGGGAGTTGTAGTCCAAGAGCCCCCTTGCCTTGGTTTCTCACATTTTGGTCCACTAAGTGTCAACGCATCTCGAGCCCATGCCGTAGTGGAAGAGCCCAGCCCAACGCGATGGGTGCTTTTCCAAGACCTCCAAAGCAACGCTTCTGCGGGAGCAGCTGAGCGCGATTCTGGAGCACTTCTCTGCCCGTCTGTTCCATCCTCTCTTTTTGCTTTTTCATTCTGGTTATGCGTGGCATGTGTGTGTGTGAAAGAGAGAGAGGTCTGTTTGTGTTTTTTTTACAGTAACATCAGCTGTTCTAACAGCTGCCCTGCCTCCTTCCAGATGTGAACAGCTTGCCACTGAGGGCGGGCGGGCTGGAGGGAAGGAGAGAGCCGGGGCAAAAACCTCCTAGCTATAAATGTGGAACTTGTGGCACCGGGCAAGTCAGTCCAAAGGCACCAGATGCGTAAGTCGGGCCGTGTGACGGGGGGACGAGCGCACGGCCATGACCACATGCTCGGGCAGGCGAGGAAAGCCGAAGCAAATTGCTTCCCAGAAGCTGCGGCTGGTTCTCTTCATCTCCTCCGTGCTTCAGTCTGGCTTCCAAATCCACATTTAGGGTTTCAATACTGAACCTTTTCAAGCAGGTGCCCTCATTCTGCTGGAAACAGATGACTTCTTGCTCTCTCTTTCTCTGCCTCGGCCCCCCTTTCTCTCTCCTTTTGCTCTCTTCCTTCTCTGGAAGAGTCCTTTTTCTAACTATTCCCCTCCCAAAGGGCAACGTGAGGGTGGGAGAGCAGGACCACACCGAAAGCGGACTTATCGCGGGAATCTTGAGTTGCAAGCAAGCATCCCGGGGAAATAATCTCGCACAGGGGACTGCACAGTCGTCCATAAAGGTCAGCTCCTGGATTGTAGCACCAGCAGATGCCAGGAAACGTCCAAGAAACACAACTATAATAGACTGAACTAGGTAAAAGCAAAGCATCTAAGAGAGGAGGGAAAATGGGATGAACTAGAGCTACCCAACCCCCCACTTTGTATGGGGAGGAAGCAACCGAGACAGGCGTGGAGCATCTGTTAAAATGTCACTCTTCCATCTCTTAATGCCTTCATTTCGCTCCTTGCCAGCAAAGGGAGAGAACAGCTGTCAGAAGAATCCTACGGAGCGCAGCTTGCTTACATGGTTATAGCCTTACCATCTCGACGCGGTTCTTAGGAACGCAAGAGAGAGATACAAAAAAAACAAAGCAGGGAATAAAATTTCAGGTTGGGCGGATCCTTATGGAAGTATGCACGCCTCTGGGTTCTCCTCCGTTCCCACCCGGCCATCGCCTGTCCCCATCCTTTCTAAATAAAGCAGCAGGTTTGTAGCTGTCTGGATAGCTCAGTGGTTGAGGTCTCTGGCTGCAGAGCCGAAGGGTTCGGAGTTTGGTGTCCCGTTCCCCCCTCACACACACTGGGCGTTCCAGAAGAAGAACCAGCCTGGGTAGCCTTGGGCAAGTAGTCCCAGGGCTACCCCAGAAGAAGGGGGGGTGGTAAGACCACGTCCGAGTGCGCTCTACCTAAAAAGGGTTGGTATGAGTCAGAACTGACTTGGTAGGCGATGATTACTCTAATCCCTAGTAGAGCACATGCTTTCAGACACAGGGTACCAAGACTCAACAAGGAAGGAGAACTGATTATTAAAGTGTCTGGAACTGGGAAATACTACAGCATGAAGAAATTGGTAACCGTCCACCTGGCCGTACAATAAACTGTGAGTAGGTAAAAGACACAACCAACTTCATCATGTGGGTGAAGCAAAACAGTGTGACGGTCCAATGTCATCCAGGGAATACGGCCTTACCTTTTTAGTCTTCACGGTCGATGCACAACAGTCTCCGCCATCGTAGTTGCAGAAGGCTCGGTTGTTGCTGAAATCACAGTAGTTGTCCCCCATGAAAGGCTGGAAAGAGAAGCCAGAGGGACAAGTGAGGAAAGTGAGGATGCAACAAATTAAGATTATCTTTTAAAAAAAAATTGGTTTGCTTCAAAATCCCCATGTTAAGAGGGGCTAGGCGCATATGGGCACGAAGCAGAGCCTTCTCGGTGGTGTCACCCCAAATGGAACCACCGCCCACGTTGCCTCCACAAAGCTCACTGGCCAATGTTGGAAGCGGCTGCCGTCTTTGAACCAGATCAAAATCCAGAGTAAGAAGACTCGATACCTGGAGTGGACAGAAGTAAATGCTCAGTCCACCAACCAAACTATAAGCTATCTTCAGCCTGACACGTCTGAGAAGACAGGTATCGAGACTCATCGGCCCAATACGTGTAACGAACAAGGTTTGTGTTCTTTCGTTAGATGCCCCGGACGGATGCCGTTCTCACAGGAGTGGAGGAGATGGCCTTCCATCTTGGTGCTCTCCTGCGTGACCATGTGCACCTTTTTGTTCCTTCCTTTCTAAAGGGAGAGCGGCATCATTCTGTCTCAGGGGTGGTAGAGCAGGGATCTAAAAGCAGATGAGTGTGTGTGTCTGTGTGTTTAAAGACACAACACAATGCATCAGGATGTCTGCAGAACAATCAGCGAGGACAACGTGGCTCTCGGTCCTGAAGGAAAGCCCCAAGGTCACGCTCATAAATATTTCAAGGGGAAACTGTAATGTTTTAGACCCCCGTAAGTTTTAATGGCCCATTACTGCTTTCTTTGCAAGCAAACCTACATCCTTGTGGAATTGGAGAAGAGCTCCAATGTGTTTGGATCGTACACAGTAATCAGGAAGAAGAGCGGTGAGCGTGTTTGCACCCACTGTGTACAAATGGCGAAAAAAGCACTTAAATCCATCCTATTCCTTCAATACGCCTGATCTTTCTGTTAGTATTCGTCAGGCAATGGGCTTACAATTACAGGAGGGTGAAATCTCAGTGACCCTCAGAAGAAATTGTTAGATGTTGGAAGCAATAACCTAGAGAGGGGACAAGCCTATTTAACTATGCTAAATCCCCTTTGTGGAGGGCCCTCCGGATTCCTTGTGCACAGTTCAGACAAAGACTGGGGGGTCGTGCTGTCCTTCCAGATGCAGTTGACCCCCTTGCTACCTCCCTAAGTGTTCAAGTGTCTGGAGCCGGTGAGGGTCGGTGTCCCCAACGAGCACGACCACACTTTTAGGAGGGGAGGTGGATCTCAAGGAGATCGAATGGGCCTCCCATTCCATGATTCCACTCCTTCAGCCGTAGTTCCTTATTTTTCTGTATTCCTCTCTTTCTAGAGCTGATTTTGGGTGGGTCATCTCCAACCATCTCCTTTAAAAAAAAAAAATCTTCCCAAGATCCTTGGCGAAATAACCTAGCCAATACTGGAAGTCTCCCTAGATGGGGGTCAGAAATGCCCCTTCTTTAAGCCTCGAATCTACGTCTCCGAGGGGGAGAAAAGCTGCCTCAGGCCAACGCAACGCAGGTGCACACCTATACATCACACACCTCGAGAAGGAGGGAGGGCTTGTTTTCACAGAGGTGACTTAAGGGCAACCATAAACACAGACCTATTAATGGAACAGTGAGGTAATGCTTAAGCACAGGACTCGAAATTATTTCTGTCACACACAAGACACCGGGAGAAACCTTGACATCCTTCATACGCTGAAGCCTTCCATTTAAAGGAGGGAACGCAAACGGGAGCAATTTTTATCTGCAGGAAGCGTGTGAAAGGCATGAGGTAAGTGTGGCCAACAACGCTCTGAAGTGAGAAGAGGTGACAATCATTTGAAGAGGAGATGTGGTTATTCGAGCTTTTAAAAAAGCATTCTTGGGGGTTGTTGTTTTTAGTGGACACGATCCATCTAAGACGTATTCTCCTTGCATCCCCCGACAATGGCAAAGAAAAGGCTGCCAGAGGACTGTGGCTTGTTTTTTACTTCATGCCGCAAGGAGAACCTTTGGGGTCCATCATTTTTAGTGCATTTGGAGTGGCCAGGATTTCAACCCACGTCCCAAGTAGCAATTATGTCCAGGAGTACCTTTACCTGGAGGGGAGTCCCACTGAGGAGACCTGTTGGGGAATTCCTAAGAGGGAGTGAAGACTCTAAAAACCCTGCTTTTTACAGGCTCTCCCCTGACCCCTGCTTTTTCCAAAAAAAAGGTGAATTGTTACTCTCTAGGTTATTGCCACTTCCTTTCCTGCTTTTCAGGGAAAGGGGGCGATTTTGGTACCCAATATAGCCACCTGAGGATCCAGCAGGGAAAAGGAATAGGCCTGATGTTGCTTGCCCAAGCAATGGTTTCCAAAACCAGGTGTTCTTGGACTACAATTCCCAGAAGCCTTCACCCCTAGCTGTGTTGGCCAGGATGTGTAGGAAGTTGTTGTCCAAGAACATCTGGGGACCCAAGGTTGGGAGCCACTGCCCTAAAGAGAAGACACAGAGAGGACAGAAGAAAGGGTTGCCTCGCAGGCAGAAGAAACACCCGGGAGACATAGTTTCCAGCACACTCTGGATTTTGGTGCCCTGCAGAACTACATTTCCCAGCTTCCTGGTGCCTATGGAAATCCTATTGCAGTGTTCAAGGCACCAATGAAGAAGGTTATACATCATTCTGAATCCAGCTCAGCGGCAGAGTGTGCGGAGTCTGTTCCTGAATCGCAGCAAATCCGCGCATCTCCAAGACAAGCAATTGAGCATCCAGCCAATGACATGAACCAGCTACAACATGGAAGAAGAGCAGCTTTGGGTCACCGTTTGCACAGAGAGACCTCCTCTACTTGCATCACAATCCCAACCCTACTGGGTCACTCTGACTACCGTTTGCACAGAGAGACCTCCTCTACTTGGTTCACATTGCCAACGTACTGGGTCACCCTGACTTGTCTTGGGTGTCCTGTTTTGGGTGATGGATGTCATGTTCTTCTCACCAACGTGATCTCCGACTGCACATGGCTTATCAGTGCTTCCCCACCTGGCGTCCCGTGTTCTTCTCACCAACGTGATCTCCGACTGTACATAGCTTATCAGTGCTTCCCCACGTATTCTTGAGCTACAACTCCCAGAAATCCTGGCCAGCACAGCTAGGGGTGAAGGCTTCCGGGAGTTGTAGTCCATGACTCGCTGGGTTCCTCTAGCAGTTCCTCCAGAAGAGAGGCGTTTGGCCCCTTTTCTGCAGCTTCTCACCCCCCACCCTTTGCAAAGGATAAGGCGACATTCACGGGGAGTTGCGTTACTGCACAGAAGCTCACCTCACAACCCTTGTTGCAATGGATGAGGGCCGGATGCGGATACCACTTCAGTTCGGCGGTGCAGACGACATTCTAGAGGGAAAGAGAGAAGAACCCAAACGCTGAGCCAAAACCCAAAATGCAGGACGACTCCCCCCACCTTGCGCCCCCAGCCCGACGCCGCCCCCATCCCCCTCGGCCGCCTCTCCGCTCGCACCCTAGAAAGCAAGTTTTGCTCCGAAAACCTCTGGTGTTTTCCCGGCCCTGGCTCTTTCCCAACTATTTACAAGAAATGTTGGACCTGCCACTTGCAATAACAGAAGGCTTGAGATTAAAATAATATTTAAGGTTCCTTCCAAGCTTCGCGTTTAATATTTCACTTGTGACAGGGAGGAACAAGCCTTGGCTGTGGAAAAGTGGGCAGGCGGGGGGCCGGCAGGGAGAAGAGAAACTTAGCCACGGCCTTGAGGGGTTTTCTGTATCATTTCCAGGGTTGCCGATTCGCCTCCTGGCCTGCCTCCTTGCCCATAATACCGAGAAGAAGACCACCAGAAGACATGTTGCAGTGATTGGGGGGGGGGAATGGTGCTTCAAAACCAGACACAGAAACACGACGATAAATTATGGGGGGTTTTAGAGTAATTTCTGGAGATTTCTAGAGATCATGGGGAGAAACTAGATATGGAAGCTTTATACCACGTCCAAGCACCCCGGGGGAGGAATCGAACTCTCAACCTCGGGCTCCCAAGCACTGAGCTATCCAGAAGTTCTGCAAGTTCCAAGCACCACAAAGGGGTATTTCTCTTTCCCCACTTTATCCTCCCAACCGTCTCATAGGGCCGGTTGCACTGAGAGTCAATGATGAGCTCAGCATCTCCCAGTTGAGTTTCATGGGCTGGGGAAGATTTAAACCTGGGTCTCCCGGATTCCTGTCCGCATCCTAAACGCTACAACATTGGGAATGCAGAAGATGTAATCCAGCACCGCCGTCATCCCCCCTCGAAAAAAAAAACAAAGGAAGCGGAAAGGAAAACACACACACACCATTTCTTGGCAGCTCACCACCACAAGCGCCATCTTTGAAGTGGCAACGGTGCCTTCCTGTGAGTAAAGTGGAGGAGACAGCACTAAGCACGGCTGACTGAGAAGCCTCCACCAGATATCTCCAAGAGAGAGACGTCCACCCCAAGGCAACAAGAAATGATCTCCCAGAAGCCCGTTCACTGTGCTTCGGGAGTCCAAGAACCTCTGGATCTATGGATCCCTGAATGTGCAGCTCCCAAGATACATGGAGAAACCAATGGCCCCATCTTCCCCCCCCCCAAAAGACCCTCCTTTGGGGTGGTCTCCAAAAGGGGGAGATCCCACATCTTCAATAACCACGCTCTGGCTATTGCTTCCTTTGGCAACCCCTTTCTTCGGGGCGACTGTTCCAAGGACGTGCCTCTGGAAAAGGGCCCTGATGATTCCACCAGGACGTCATTTCAATTGCCCTGAAAGTTACTGTCGCTTATCTGGGATTTCTGCAGATTTTGGACTAATCTTTTGTGGTTTATAGCAGTACGTCTGGAGAGAGATTTTTACATGTGGAAAAACGCTTAAAATGTGGTTTGTTGGTGGAATCTCTTCTGGACGGCTTCCCAAGGGGTGTGGAGGATTCTAAATGCGTATGACTCTCTTTCATTTGTGAGGTGTCCGCGTTGTGCGTTGCTGTTAGTCTCATAAGCAGAAATGCTTTGGGTTGCAATAGAACATTCTTAAAAATAAAATGCTGGCCCACAACATGTCTGTTTGGATCTCTCGAGGTAACAGGAATGACACAGCCATGCATCTACTTTTAAAAAACTGGAATGCTTTGTTTACAGAGGCATTTTTCCCCCGTACACACATTTGTGTAGCTTCGGAGAGACTCGAGTCATACACAGTTGACTGCTTAATAGCTAATCCTGTGTTACGCCTACATGGTAAAAAGTCCCATGAAGAAAAATGCATACCAAAAAGGGGGGGGGGCAGTTTTCTGCAAAACAATGGATAAAACAGAGGAAACGGCAGGAAAGTGTGCATATTCCAAGGCATGCATCCAGATATCAAATTTCAGCTTCCAAAACTCATCAGTGGGATGAAATGGGTGCTTCCCCCCACCCCACAAATGGTAGAAAATGAATCAGAAAAAAAAACAGGTCTATTCTGAAGAGGAGGTGTGGTATAAATCGAACAAATAAGCTGATGGATGGTTTGATGCCCAAGCGCTAACTGCCCTTGTTGCTGATGGTGCTGATTTCCTATGTGAATCTTTGGAAACTTTTGTCACGAGGAGGTATCGCGCATTTCAAGGGTTTGTTCAGCATCTCTCCTGCTGAACCAGTATCCTGAGTCCAAATCTACTCTCTGCTCCCGTTCAAGGCAAGGAGAGTGTCTCCCAAGAAGGCAAGACTTCTCGCATGTTCTGGCTGGGCCTGGCTCAGCTTTCTGTAGGAAAAGCATCTCTCCCAAAAGTGAAGCAGTTGGGGATGTTGCCATGTCTTGGCCATCGGTCTTCGTCTCCTTCCAGCCAACAGCCGATCTCCGAGAGAGAGGGGAAGCACACCCACTAAAAACTGTCTGACTCAAGAGGAGACCTTGAGGAGGAAGATCTAGACCCCATGGGGTTCCTTGTCTCCAAGCAAGAACAGGACAAAAAGCCCTCTTTTTCCCCCCTTTAAGCCCTCTTATCAGGATCTCCATAATTTGTGCAAGGAGGCTCCGTGCCAATCGATGGGGTTATCGGTGCAGTTTTGCTTCCTTTGTTCAGAAATATCCTTGTCTTCTTCTCGGGGAGGATAATTCTGCGGTTCCCCACCCTCGTGTGCAAGCAGAAGGAGTTGCATGGATGCTCCCCCTGGTCTTCAAGGTGGTACAACACGGCCGGACCACTAATTCTCACCCATCAATTGCTGCGGGCATCTCTCAACCCCCTGGTTGACTGTGTTTTGTTTGGAATTGAGTAAGCGCCCAAGAGCTAACTGCCCCTGTTGCTGATGGCACTGATTTCCTATGTGAATCTTTGGAAACTTTTGTCACGAGGAGGTATCGCGCATTTCAAGGGTTTGTTCAGCATCTCTCCTGCTGAACCAGTATCCTGAGTCCAAATCTACTCTCTGCTCCCGTTCAAGGCAAGGAGAGTGTCTCCCAAGAAGGCAAGACTTCTCGCATGTTCTGGCTGGGCCTGGCTCAGCTTTCTGTAGGAAAAGCATCTCTCCCAAAAGGGAAGCAGTTAGGGATGTTGTTGCCGTGTCTTGGCCATCGGTCTTCGTCCCAGTGTTGTCTCCTTCCAGCCAACAGCCAATCTCCGAGAGAGAGGGGAAGCACACCCACTAAAAACTGTCTGACTCAAGAGGAGACCTTGAGGAGGAAGATCTAGACCCCATGGGGTTCCTTGTCTCCAAGCAAGAACAGGACAAAAAGCCCTCTTTTTCCCCCCTTTAAGCCCTCTTATCAGGATCTCCATAATTTGTGCAAGGAGGCTCCGTGCCAATCGATGGGGTTATCGGTGCAGTTTTGCTTCCTTTGTTCAGGAATGTCCTTGTCTTCTTCTCGGGGAGGATAATTCTGCAGTTCCCCACCCCTCGTGTGCAAGCAGGAGAGAGAGGAGGAGTTGCACGGATGCTCCCCCAAGTCTTCAAGGTGGTACAACACGGCCGGACCCCTAATTCTCACCCATCAACTGCTGCGGGTGTCTCTCAACCCCCTGGTTGACTGTGTTTTGTTTGGAATTGAGTAAGCCCAACACAGAGATCTCAGCTGGTTTCAGAAGCAACGCTTGGCGTGGATGTGGATGAGGGGCCACCAGCAAATATGAGGGATCTCCAGATAGTGCTAAGGCTAGACCTAGAGATAGGGCTAAGGTAGGATCCTGCTTAAAGCTTGGGACAGCTATGGCTGCCCGCTCAGAGTTGGAAACACTAGGCTAAGTGGACCAAGGGTCCGATTCAAGAGAAGGCAACCATCCTACATCTCCATGGGTTCGTGGCAGCACAGATCAGCTTCCCGGATGAGGCCGGGGACCCTTTCCTCGTCTCCCCTCCGCTGTTTCATCGCAACACAAGGGCAGCCTTTATTCTGCCTGCACTCAAGCTCACCTGTTTTCCTTTCAACGAAAATCGCAGAAGGCTGCGCGTCATGTGCCCGCGCACGCTCACACCGAGCAATTCGCCCCTGCTAATTTGAGGACTAATTTAATCCGTCTGCAGGGGTGCCTCCCCCCCCCGTGTTTTTACAGGTTCTGTCATCTGAGGCTTACCTGGCACGGGCGAGAAAAAAAGGACTCTTATGCTGTCCGCGCGGGGCTATTTATCTTTCCGATGCATGTGGATTTTCCACCATTACTCAAGGCCCAGTTTGTGCCACCTGCCTTGCAACAGACCGGGTCTGTGTGAACGGGAAGGGGGAAAGAGTCTGGCGAGGACTCGGATGAGAGCAAAGAGTATGTACCCCCTGGGCAAAGGAGGCCCATGTAGGTGGGATGATGGGGGGGGAGAGAACCTGCCATGGAGGCAGATCCCTCTCCAGCTAGCTCTCCGCTGGCTTCTCAAAACCAAGAGGCCGGTGGTCCCGAGGAGTGCAGAGAGAATCTTTCTCTTCTGCTCCTCTTGTCTTTATTGCACATTATCCTGAAGTCCAAGAGAGCAGACTATGTCTAGATGGGCGGCGTATAAATGCAATAAATAAATAAATAAATAAAATAAGAGAGGGGAAGACTAAATCTAAAGCTGCTTCTGTTCCGGCATGTGTACAAATGTCAACACCAGCTCAACGGACAGACCAGACTCATCATCTCTATCTATCTATGGGGTGATGACTGCCAGGCCAGGTGGCCATAACCACGTGCTCTATATCACAGACTCATCATCTCTATCTATCTATGGGGCACTGAGCATGGTAGGGTGATGACTGCCAGGCCAAGTGGCCATAACCACATCATTTTTTTTTTTTAATTAAGAAAACAAATAGATTTGGGTTTTCTTCCTAGCACGTAAGTTACTGCAGCAGCAACATCACTGGAGAAGTAACAGTGGGAAATTGATTGACAACATGGTTTTTTAAAATCCCATTTGGCAAATGATTTTGTTCTTTCTTTTTTTGGGGGGGGGTGGCCATATTTCACATTTTATTTTAAAAATAATATCAAAGGCTGGAGGGTTTGAAGGCAGTTTGCTTTCAATTCAAGCAACATAAAGGATTGGGTTTTTTTTTTCCCCAAAGGAGGTGACGGGCCAAATGAACCTCTTAATGGACACATCATAGGTAACCTCTGCTCGGTGGGAAAAGTGCCAGCTTTGGAAGTGCAAACGGATCAACCCCTTTCTGGCCGCAGGATCTGTCTTTCAAAACTTGCCCGGAGAGAGGTGGGACCCGGGGCCCGCGTTGTTCCCTGAGCGTTACAATTCACACCTGCTTTCAAATTCACATCCTCGTCCTTTGTGACGACCTCCATCTTTGTGATGATGTGGGACCTTCAAGCTCCTCCGGCCAGCCACAAAGAGAAAGGAAGCCAGCAATGATCTCGTGGGTGTTTCTTGGTTTGATTTTTAAGAAAGAGGGGCCCCATGGCCCAGGAGCCAAATCACAATTAATCCTGGCCATACCTTCAATGGGACACCTTTCATGGCGATCTTTTGAGTCCTCGAGATGAGTGTTACAGAGGCACAGAAAATACATCCAACCCCTCTTGGCTCAAGAGGGGGAAAGCAGCAGGATCTGAAGTCCAACTCAAGTTCTGAGATGGTGGAATCTGGGCTCAGGTTCCACCCCAAGGTATTGTCAACTCAAATCATCTTTCTCGGTCTTTTACAAGCAAAGGAGCCACCAGTCCCTCCAGGAACACATTTCTCTGTGGATTCTTCCTGATTTCGGCTGGCAGCAAAAGCAACGGAAAACGCGGCCGTCCCCAATTGGGAAAAGTGGGAGTTTCATTCTAGTTGGCACACAATTCAAGAACAGTTCGCTTGAGACGAAGGATTGTGGGCATCGGAGGTTACGGGGGAATCTGTAGGATGCTGCCTTTGACGGGCCCGGCAGACAGGCAGGGCAAAAAGGTCGCAAACCAAAAGGGTTGGAGATGAATCCAAGCAGGAAACAGCTACAACACACAATGCCACTGGGTTTGGTTTTTTTCCTCCAAAGGAGGTCCAGCAAGTTCAACATCAAAAGCTCAGGATCCCCGTAAGGAAGAGTCTGTCTCTCTCACACACTGGAAAGTCTCTCTGTTCAGACTATGGGTTGCTTTATGATACAGTGGTGCCTCGCTTAACGGCGATAATCTGTTCCAGGAAAATCACCGTAAAGCGAAAACATCGTAAAGTGGAAAAAAACCCCATTGAAACGCACTGAAACCCCTTAAATGTGTTCCAATGGGGTCAAAACTCACCGTCCAGCGAAGATCCCTGTTCAGACTATGGGTTGCTTTATGATACCAGATGCTGAACTGCAGCTCCCATCGGTACATTGGCTGTGCTTGTTGGGAGATTCAGTACCAAGCCCTCCCCCCCCCATTTTGTTCTTTCTCCCCATGTCTTCACTGCCCCATTGCCCATGATGCCATCGTGCCACGGCGCTGCGTGGTTTCTAGAAGCCAAATGAAGAGTGAACCGGTGGGGTTGAGGGCAGCGATGGCAAGTGATGCCCAGGAGCAACACCGATGCGAGAAGCAACACAGCCATATGCCGCAGTTCAACACATGACACAGATTGATGGGACATATAACAGCAACGTTGTCCAGCTGCTGGAGAGCTCAGTGGTTTAAGTACGGTTGGGAGTTCAAATTCCCCCAAGGTGCTTCCTGGGAGAAGAGCCAGCCTGGGTGGCCTTGGGCCAACTGCACACAGTCCCAGAGATCCCTCCCCAGGAGAAGAGAAGGATAAACCACCTCGAGTATGTATTCTCTATCTGGAAAATCCTGGAAAGGGGTCGCCCTAAGTCAGAATTGACTTGATGATAATGATGATGGTCCAACTGCATCAAACATGCAATGGTTGCAATGAAAGGCTAAAATGAGAAGAACATCCGGCGCAGCAGCGTCCTGGATGCAACATCTGCCTACCTGTTCTCACCATGAATTTTTGTCTCCATTTCTGGATCACATCATCCTCCCTCCCCCCTCCCTGCCTGTACACCTCCCCTCCCCCTCCACCTCTGTCCGCCTTTCCTTTCTTTCTTTCTTTTTAAACTACTAGTTATTTTTTCCCTCCGGCTACCTAATGAGACCTCGAGGGGATCGGCAGGGATAAAACTC